GTCTAGTGGTAGAATTCGTCGTTGCCATCGACGAGGCCCGTGTTCGATTCACGGATGATGCACTTCTTTTTTTGATTTTGATTTTGATTTTGATTTTAATTCTAGTTATTTTGAGCTCTATCTTTTCTAATTCTCTTCTAAATCTTACTTCTTTTTTGCCTTTTTCTCATGGCACGTTATCTTGGTAGTTTAAATATAGTATGGTTGGTTTCCTTCGGCGTACCATCTTGTTGAAGGCATATATATAGAACCACTCCATTGTTTTGCCCAATCTATTATCTAACAGGTATCCGCGACATCAGATAAATGAAAACCAAAGAAAGGGGCTATTACATCAGGGAATCCTAGTAAAGCTTGATCATTTGACGGTCTATCCACAAATAACCGACATAGTCTTGTACACTCTACACTAACACCAAGGAAGCAAAAGGCAAAGGAACAAAACAAATATGGCACATGTGCATCGTTTATGGTTTGTACTTGGCCGCATATTCGGCCGCCCATTCCCGGAACATACACCATGAAATGGAAATGAGAAACAAGAAGATGAAAGGCAAAAGAAAAACCCCGGTCCAAACCCATACCCCTGGCAGCGCCGAGAAAGATATAATACAGGATGCTCTAGCCTCTACGCAGTAAAGACGCTGAGCCATCACTTACTGCATATCCGGCTCGATATCACTAGCCCCTCCATCGGCAACCTCATCCATGGCATCAGGGTTGAGATTGGCAGCGTCGGGTGCCACACCGATCTGAGTCTCGTAGGAGATGGTGCGCCAGCCAGATGCACTGGTGGGGTCTTTGACATATTCGGACATGGGGAACTGTTGGACGTTAGGACGGTTCGATATTTGACTTCTGTGCATAATGCATGGTAAGACTCACGTAATGATCATTCTTCTTCATGGTAACAACCCAGGGAACGTTGTCGAAGGTCACGGCGCGAATACGGAAGTACTCGTTATCAGGAATCTTGCGGACCTCCCGAATAAAGCTATCCAGGTCTGGAGTCGAGACGCTGTTGACAGCAGTGAGGAAGTTAGTGGGCGCAAGGCCGTAGTGGTAAGCGGGGGAACCACGGCTCTGAAGGATAGTGTTAGCGGGATTTGAATAGATGTGACTGAGGTGTCGAAACTAACTCTCGCGCTCACGTAGATCTCGCTGTGAACCTTGGAGATCTGCTGGCGAACAGCATGGTGAGGCTTCTGTAGGACAGCACCGCAGAAAGCAAGGGCACGATCCGTCTCAATATCCTGAGTCGGCACCGTGGGGACGCGGATGCGCACTTCCTCGCCGTTCCGTATGACCAATGCATCTAGGAATTCCTTCTCATACATGACATCCAGCTCTGAAACGCGAGTGATGATCTTGCCATCCAGCGTGAGAATAATGTCGGCTTCTTGGAAGCTGGTGCTGGGGTCGGGAGTGACGCCTGCCGGAGGACTGTCAACCTTGCGCACCATGAACAGCTGGTGTCGCGATGGGTTGGTCTCGGTGACCTTGTTAATCCACTCCTGCGAGACTCCCATGATGCGAGCCTGGCTCATCTGCACAACGTAGCTTTCCATGTTTAAGATTCGCAACGTTGGGATTTCGCCTTGCTGGATCTTGGAAATAACGGGAAGCAGGTATGGAGTGGCGAGGCCGAGGTGGTATTCGACATCCTTGTGAGAGCTTGCCGAGCGCTCACCGAGGTAGTTCAGCCACAAGGCCTGTACCACACCGTCTTCGCCGACAAGCACACCATTTGAACATTGTGAACTGAGCCCAGTGTCCACGGTCACGGCGTCGAGGTTGATTGCACGGTAACGGGGAGCAGCTGCGTTGGCGGGGATTGACACAGTTGTGATATCAGTGACAGTAGTCTTGGCCACGACAATGCGGTAGTTCTGGTTGAAGCCGACAAAGATGGTATCTTGGCCTTGTTTGATATAGTCGGTGCTGAGCTGGGCGCTCTTGACCGGAGCCTTGACGAGGCTGGGGTCGTATTGGATAATGGAGTAGTTCTGAAGCGGATGTAAGAAGATAACCTTGGCACTGACAATGATCGAGTCGGCCACGGTAATGTTGATGTCGCAAAGGTCGTAGGGGACAATGGCTCGTGATACTACTACCAGACCCTTCTCAGCATCGATGACCAGTCCAAACCCGGTCTTCTTAGCTTGCGGGTATCCATCTAGCTTCAATGGCATGATGCACGACACACGCACGAAGCTACGGACAATCTCGGCAGCAGCAGGCTGGCTGATACCGTCTAACTGGATGAAGTTGGCCTCTCTCGGGACAGGAGGTTCGGCAGGAATGGGATCGGCGATATCGGAGAAATCCCAGACACCAGACTCGTCGTTACGGACCGCCAACCGCATCTTGGGGTGCCAGTGACGGTCAACATAGATGATGCTAGTTCCTTTTGTGTGGAGATCGCGAATATGGCGGTAGGAGATCACCACACGAGTACGATCAGGAATGTTCTTCATGACCTCTATGAACTCATTGAGATTACGGATGGGCCGCTTATCGATCGAATCAATGATCCACCCTGCCACGGTGTTCTCCAGCTTGAAAGAGCCTGCCGACTCGCAGACATAGACTCCGCGAGTAGCAATGGCATAGAGACGTGACTGCTGGTACGACAAATCATGGAAACTTGCGCCCGCAACTGTCACGAAACGATCGGGTGTGATATCATGGAGATTTCCCACTTGACACTCGACCTCAACGTCTTGACCGCCTCTCTGAACCAGCAGCTTGACAGATTCACCGACACTCGAGTCTAGGATATCGTCGAGACGAACAAACTTCGTAAGAAGTTCTCCATTCACCTTAATCAGCACGTCTCCCTCCAGCAACTTACCATCTGCGGGTCCCTCTGGAAGAATGATCTCCGCCGCAAGCATGTTCGTTTCAGTAGGTGCTGCGGCACGAATAGCAGCCTCCCACTCCGGGCTCAGACCAAGACGGCGACACTCGTCGAAAGGCCGCAAGACCCACTGTGTTTGAATTGTACCACGAGTGATAGGCTGACCTTGGCGGATACACTCGAGTGCACGGAGCGGGCGGTCCAGCGGCAAGAAGTAGTCTGTCGCAGCCCCGTCAGCTCGACCACCAGCCTGCAAAGCAACTGCATGGCCAGCAAGATTGACCACAGGACTTCCTGAACTACCGCCACTGGCTGCAGCTGCGGCCTGGATGTAGTTTGTGTTGAAATCACAGTAGCCCTCTCCATATTCAGGCGCATTTCGGTCCAGTCGACTGATCACGCCGGACAGAATGCTCAGCTTTTCTCCAGCATCGTTACCCACAACGCGGATTTCCGTGCCAACGCGCGCGCCATCCGGCTGGAGCTTGAGCTCAGTGACTGCCATATATCGGATTTTCTTCGGGTCGAACTTTAAAATACCGAAATCGTGAACGGGGTCGCGGTATACCGGTTTGACATCGCACTGCGATTTGACAATCTTGTTAGTAACCAGACAAGAGCTTTGACCAAACTATGGCGCAGCATCGACTTACTTCTTCATGGTTGTCAAATATGCAGTATCCCCAGAAAGGACCAGAACCAACAACGTGACGATTGGTCAATATGTAGCCACGCTCTGCGTCCACGACGAAACCAGTTGCTTGACTGGACATTGAGAGCTCTGTGTCGAACGAACAGGTTTGACAAAAGTGAATGGAGACAGCGCATTTCACGACCTTCTCAATGGTAGCTTGCCATTCAGGTGAATCTGCTGCAGCGGGGATGGCAACTGGCGAGGGAGCACCATCTGAATCCCCCTCAATCTCATATACGGTTCCATTCGCAGGCGTTGAATCGTCGGGAGTTAAGACTGCAGGCTCAGGTCTAAGTTGCTTGTTCGGATGCTCGGAATTATCGGCCGCTGTGCTGCGCTTTCGCTTTGCACTGATATCGCCCATGCCATCCATAGCGAAGAGATCTGAGGTCCGGAAGAGGTATGGACGGGGGTTTAGGCGGTTGGCGAGAGTCGAGATCGCGCGGGAGCCTCTTGAGGCTAACGGGGTAGCAGAGAATGGGGTATCGGACGAACGAAACACGTGAAGATGTAGACGATGCGGAGTTAAGGAATGTGACGCAAATGACCGATTAGCGGCGGCTGGAGACCTCAAAGGAATGGAGGTTCGGTTTGAAGCTTGACAAGATGACAAAGGAGGGATGGCAGTGATTCGCAAGCTCCTTCTGCATAGAGCTGACCAAGAGCAATACATCCACTAGACAATTGGGGGAAATGTGTACGCGCCTTGACATCGAGGCAAAACATGCCCTCCAACAAGGTCCCAAAGGCGGAGAAGGAGTAGGGCCATATTATTGGCCGAGGGCGTTACTTATATCTTAGGATTATTGCCGGCAAAACTAGTACGATTACCATCGTGTTCATATATTCTGACAGGTTAGAGTCATACAAGACTAGAGCCCGTTAGTTCTGCTATCTAGCACTAGAAGACGTCTTACCTTGAAAAGGAGGTTGGTATCAGGCTTCAGAAGGAGAGAACAGGCGGTAATGCCGATAAGGACGTGCATGTCTATGCGCCCAACTGTCAAATAACTTTGAAAACCTCTCTGTTTAATCTTGAGAGATAGGCACATGGAATGTTACGTTATTTTCAACTAATGTACAAATTTGGAGGTTGCTTTGTAGCCTGATCTACTCAAACATGAGAGTTCTTCCTCGGCAAATACTCCCATACTTCCAAAGCGGGGGACTTGGAGTATCTCCCATTCAGATACAGATAGAATACGACTGCTTTGAAGTTCAACTGGTCACACACGATTTTCAGCTGGCAGAGACGGTGCGCATGGTGGAAGGCCCATGCTTCTGTGGGTATAATGGTGTTGAAGAGAATGGGCCGGCGCCTCCCATAGAGCTTGCATTAGTGGCCCGTACCATGGTCTGAGTCGCGGCGGTAGACAAATCAGGGGCTCGATATAATATGTGGCATGCCTTCTCACGCGGAGGATTGCATATTTCCTCATTAGTTTCTCAAATAATTGACTCAGTCATAGCGCCAGGGCTAGGTCCACCGTTTCCCTGCATGGACGGAGGACTTGGCCGTTGTGGAGTAGAGGCCTTTGCAGAGCGCGAGAAGAGCTCGTTGAGTCTGACATATAGCTCATTAACAGAGGGGAGGTTGGGAGGCGGTGTCATGATCGCTGGCATTTGGGGCACGACGCCACTCGCTTTCTTCGATCGATCGGCGATAGTCGCGAGGTAGGCTAGGTTGACTTGTAGGCGTCGCATGCACTCCATATATTCGGGGCTCTTCTGATTGGCTTTGGATATATCTGGTTGCTCGGACGCCGGTGAATTTGTATCCGGGTTGGAGACGGCGCCAGCCTTGCCGGCAGCTTGAAGGTTCACTACCTCTTGCAACAAGGCCGAGTTGATGTCAAGGAGGGCCGTGACACGGGCCTTCTCACGCGCCGCAAATTGAGCCTGGGCCTGGGCCGGGTTCGGAACCGCAGGAGAGGCAACGGTCTGGGGCGAGTTGATTTGTGAAGGGAGTTTGGGCTGTGTGCCGAGGAGGTTGTTCGCTGATATGGAAGCCATATTTTGGGAGAAGGTCTGCGCTACTTGAGATGGCATGTTTGCGCCGGATGTGCCTTGAGGGGGGACGAACTGTCCCATGGAGGTAGGTATGGAGGTCTGGGTGTAGGGCGCTGAGAAGTTATCCATAGGTGCTGCTATTATGATTAAGCATGGTCAGTCCAAATATTCCAAAATAAAGTGACCTGGTTAGTTGGCAACAGTAGACAGGAGACAAATGATCAAAGCCCGACAATGCCAAGGGCCAATGCATTGAGAGCGGCAGGGCCAGTTTCATCCAAGCCATAGGGGGTTTAGGGTGGGTGACACAAGCATGAGGGAGCTTGAATGGAAATAATTCAATCCGATCTTGAGCCTCATAGGACCCTTCCTTTCGAAGAATTTGGGCAACAATTCTAGCCCGGGGTAAAGTGACAGACGCACGGTGCCAATGATAATAACAAAAAAAGGGGGAGGGAACGAACCGGAAGATTGTTGGGGGAAACCTGAAGGCATCATAGCTCCACCAGGACCAGGCTGCATGGGCATACCAAAATGTTGACCCGACGGTGTCTTTGATTGGGGGTATTGAGGAACAGCATTAGGGTAGAAAGACATCTGTTGGTTTTGGGGGCTTTGAGTCGGGACGGGATAGCCCGCGGGATAACCAGTATTGGGGTCCATTGTGTATTGAGGGACCATCACGGTTGAGGGAGGGCTCAAGGGATTATTTTCGCCCTGTAATACTTCTTCTCCAGCGATCCCCTCGATTTAGGGAGGCTACTGTGGCTGAATTACGCAGGCCGCACGGACGAGACGGTGAAGGTCCAACGGCGCCTGTTGACCAGGAATCCAGGGATAGGCAGATAGGCGAGATCCCGAAGCTGCTAGAAACAAAAAAGGAGAGCGATGATTGGCTCAATCAGAAGACGGGTTGTATTGGGAACACGGCGTCTCCAGCGAACTGGGATTCGTAGCAAGACAGATTCTGGTGCCCAGATTCAGAGCGATCAGCCGTGGGCGGGCTAATGCAGCGGAGCCTTTTTGGAATGGTGGAGACACAAGGCTCGAATGAATGACGTTGGGATGATAATGCAATATGTCAAGTTGAGTTTGAACTTGACTTTGTGATCCAGAGTTTAAGAGTGTACTTGATGTTTAGAGAGGCTGGTGTCCACAATGAAAGTGACATTCGACAGTCACGGGGTACGATTTATGCCTCAGGCAATGAATGTTGATGCCTGGAATATGAGCAATAGTCGGCTAACGATTTCTCTATTTTTTACCATATTGGAACTAAATAGCCCTAATAATAATATCAGACATGCCATTATCCTTTCCAGCTAGATGTGTGAAAGAATGTACAACATAGGCAAACGGTAGAATATTGGGAAATATGGTCAAAAAGCTATGCAATATAAAACGATTGTAAGTACGGAGTACTCCGTACGACATGTGACAATCGATAGACGCCTATACCAATTTCCTACTCATAGCAACTAGCCGAGGTCATTACCCCATGCAGGCATCACATCTCTTACCGCTATATTAACACACGAAGAGCGCTTTGGTCCCGTCGTTGGGCTCAGGTGCCGGGGAGAACGCCACGGACAGAAGACCAAAGCCCTTCGGCAAGGATGCCGAAGGGAGCACGGAAACTTCTTCCTAAGCAAGATCGCACTTTGTTGTACATATCTACTCCGTAGGTAACCATGTATTTTCCAATCGCTTGGCACTTATGTATGGCTTGGCGATCAGTACCCACAAACCACACTCGGGGAGATGGGCACACGCTTCCTATGTATGTAGATGAGATAGGGAATGGGAGATCCTTCCTAACTTGACGTGTCAGGAACAGTCAAGCGACACATCAGTATCTCGGATAAAAGGGTAAATTGCTAAACGACCCTATTTATAGTCAATCGCAGGTGCTAGCGATCTCCACTATACAACATGCTCGTAAAGGCATGCAGCGTGGTGGATCAGCAGGGGATAAGAAAGCATTGTTAAATCTGAGTAGTATGATCGAAGCCCAAATTTGAGAACTTCGTCCATTGGCCCGGCACTCCGTATACTCCGTCCATACATAGTTGTGCATAGGTAGCGCGAAATGCAGAACGCTCCAACAGGAACTGTGGGCCACGACGAAGCGTCATCTGGACGCCACACGATTCGACCCCGTTTCCAGGAAATGCAGGTCGGATATGCGCGGTTTCTGCGAATTGGGATTACGGGGCTGCGCAATGGCGTAAACTGACAGCGGTTTAGCTTGATGTCGATGTTGTATGTATCGAGTCCCGACGAGTCCAAACTTTAAACTCAATCTGTTTCCCGATGACGGTGAAACCTTAAGCCTTTACCCGCGTGGACAGGTGCCGATTCCCTTGTCCGGAGAGCATCCGAGGACTCCGGAGCTAACTCCGTACATACGGACCCTCCGAGGTCAAACATTTGAATGTTCCTGAACCTCGACTCCCCACAAGGGAACATCCGAATGAGAAGCTTATCGTGCGTTTGATTAGAAGAATGTTACTCCACTTGACGGGGGTTGAATGCTATATTAACCATGTATATTGTAGTTAGTTATGTACTGTCGATTATCAATGCATGGGCCTTTACGGAGTACTCCGCGGAGTACTCCATACATACTCCGTACTGGGTGGCGAATTGACCATCGCTTATTCCTACATATAGTGCTTTAGTGATTTAGCGATTATTTCACATTCCCCCCCCCCTTTCAACCAGCACCTGTCGATCTCCTATTCTGAGCTTGAAGCATTCCAGCACCGAAGTAAGCCCGTTCGGCCGATATTCTGGAATCTGACGTTTGAGGCTTCGAGACCGAATTAAGGCCGCCCGGCCGGTAAAGAATTAAACTTCGCATGACGAGGGCGTGCATGACATAAGAATCGATCTTGCCCAGGTGGACGATAGGTACAGAACTAAACCGAACTAACTATACGAACTAACTATAACATGTATGCACTGCACCAAATGCGCCCGTGTCTTAGATCTAGCCCTGTGAGTCAACGGTGTGGTATTATTAATCAGATAAGCAAGGAGATGGAGAGCAACTAGTACATCTACAGTCTCGGGAATATTGGCACAAGGCAACCGCTTGGCGCAAGGCCCTTGGATTGAGATTCTATAGTACTTTTCCCACTGGCTATGGTATGATGGCTTGCAGGTGTCTGGCAGTTCCAAGGGGCATGTTTCAACGAATTGAGTTGTGAGGCTTGAAACATAGCCAGTCTACCTCACAGCGGCACGAACAGATCCATATGGGCATAGACAACATAGTACATACCTAGCTTACTTCTCAAGTTCAAAGACCTGCGCAGTCGTAATTCGGGAATTCAAATCTCCGGCTCTATCATCCCTATAGCATTATAATAGGTCAATGATAGGAAAACAAATCCGCATTCCAAATCAAGACCTAATGCGCCCAAATACTCCGTCGTCGGTTTCGATACTGTATCTGCATGGGCGCTCTGCAGATCAGTCCATTCGACTCCACCGGCCTGGGCTATTTGAAGTTGGGCCTCCACCTTTGCACTCTAGTTACGCACGGAGTAGATACGGAGTAGGCAGTGCGCCACACCTGGACAGACCCAGTGTGGCTTTTTTATGAACCCTTATGTGTAGGCACATCGTTTCGTTAGTCACAGATCGGCAGTCGCGAGCTGACCAGAGGCATTATTATTGCTAGTGTGTGGCCGTCGCAGCATGGTCTTCCCATCCCCAAGTCCCCGTAGAAAAATCCACCCTTCTTCGATTCCCCTTGTGGCCCACTCCGGTATAGAACTGGAGGCAAAACTGGACAAGCTTGCCAACCGTACAATCCGGGGCCAGCCGTTGGGTCCATCTATAGGGTATTTCATCCTGTTTCCGTGGCCAATGACCTTGACAGAGCTGATGCTAGCCAGGGCGCGGAAAACATGTCCAGGCGATCGCCAGAGGAACCAGAGTATGCCCATTATGCTATGATCTACATAGATAGCGATGGCAATCTATGCCAAAGGGCCTCCGATTCCATTTCAGAGAGCCGCCAGACCATCCTCTCCCCTAGGGTCACCAGTGAATTCCTCCGAGCGGTGGCGATGTCGAGAGAAGCCCACGCAACCCGATGTCAAGGCAAGTGCTCTTTTGACTCCACATGAATGTCTTATTGACATAGAACAGTTTCTCCCGAGGTCCCGGTGCGGTCTAGCGGGCCCCCGTTTAACAACCACAGCTCTGCCCCGTCGCAGGGGGAGCTCGTGGCTTATCGTGGAATGTGTCCGAGTAGTCAACAGCGGATACAAGTTCCTGTGCAATCAGAGTCTACATTTCACCCGACAATGTGGCCAACCGAATCCTGGCCTGTACAAGCCTCAGAGCCCAAGAAGAACTTTGCAGGTCGGAACCTCAACTTGGCTGCACACCAGAAAGCCTTAATCTCTGTAAAAGAGAGAGGTCTGTTGCGTCTCTACTATGAGAAAATCTTCCAAAACTTGCAACAAACAAACTGTCGAATAATAGCCAAGGCCTACATCAAATTAGTCGAGCCGCGCAAGCAGGTGAACTACCCATACAATGGACGGAAGATTGTCGAAGGCAGAACTCAACAGCTTGATCCAGAGGCAACTAAGCCACCGTGGTGGCCGCGTGGAGTGAGCCATAGGGAGCCGGATCATCTTCCAAAAGTTGGTAAGACACAAATATCGTTCCGGATGTCCGACCAAGCTGATAGGAGTCAGAACGCATTCGACTTTTGGTATACATGCTCTGCGAGATGCGCGAATCGCATGGAATCACAACCGCCAGATTAAAACAATGCGATCAGCCCATCCGTCGTCAGATCCTGCCGGTCGAGCGGCTACAAATCCTGGATGAGGCATATCGAGTTCGCGAGGAAGAGGAAAGATTCCTGGATGGAATTTCAGGTACATACTCCCTCGCATTACTCCTCAATCCCCTTCTCACATGTACCTAGAGGGAAAACAAGTGTGCATAGCTCGCACCAATCTTCCTCATATGGCAGAGGACACATCCAGCGAACAAAGCTCGCCAACCGAACCCGTCTCTTCCCAGAATATCGTCGAGTCCGAGTGCAGCGACGGCATCTTCGGAATCGATATAACCAAAGTCACCACCGGAGACCTGCCGAGCGCGTCAGCGTACAACCCCCCCAATCCTTATAGCCCGATGCACCTGGGCCCCAGCAGCCAATACCATTCCGTCAGCCCCTCCAACATGTCAACATCACCATTGGAATTGAGGCCAAAGCACGAATCACTATCTGCCGGGACTCATTTAATTGATCGAACGCGTTCCATCAGCATGGCGCACTATCCATATCCCGGCGTTTCTGGCATTCAATCGGCCCCGATGGATTTCTACGGTACCCCTAATATGTCCCAGGATGCAGGTGTTCCAATCACCCAGACATCGACGGAAAACTTGTCAACAGAGTCAATGATGCCATACGGCCACCCTTATTATTTCAACTATTGAGCGTCTAAGCATGGACCGGAGCACGGAGGATATCTTTTTACGATAATGAATTTCGTTCGGGTTGTATTGGAACAAGACAGCTCTGTCCGAATAATTATTTACGAGTAAGCCCGAGGTGACGCCTCTAAAGATCACCAGTTGAGCCTGTAACCAATGAGCCGAGTCAAAATTCAGGGATAGATACAAAGAGATGGGTAGGCCGGCCTATTTCCCATTCGATTGTTCCGATAAGCCTACAGGCACTGCGAGTACCAGTCATTGGAGTATTTACAGGTCCCACTTGCGCAGGTTGTGCTTCCAGTCCAGCCCAGCCCACCGCACTGACCATAGAGAGGGACGCCAGTAGTACTACCAGAGCTGGTAGTAGTGCTGGCAGCAGAGGTAGTCGTGCTGGTAACAGAGGTAGTCGTGCTGGTAACGGTAGTCGTAGAGGAAGTGGAAGTACCAGAAGCCGTACCACCCAAAGCAGCCAAGATACCATCATAAGCCGGCTTCTTCACCAGGTTCGCATCCAAAGGACACGCAGCACCCTGACCAGAGAATGTACTAGGAACCCACGAGTACTTGTCCGTGTAGTCCCAAATAGTAACGCCCACACACTTGGTATTTGCCACACAAGCCGCAACGGTATTCTGGTAATCGGTCGACTGCTGCGCAAGCAAGGCCGAAGTCGACGGGAGAGTCATCCGGATATCAAGCTCAGTATAGGCAACTTCGACACCCAGGGCCGTGAACGCGGCCAGATTGGTAGTCTGCGCGCTCTGGCTAGGGGTACTTCCGACGATAAAGTGTGCTTGTAGGCCGACGCCGTCAATCTTGGCGCCGTACTGCTGCACCAGCTTGACGATTCTCTGGGCACCTGTTGCCTTGGACCCGGCGGATTCGATGTTGTAGTCGTTGTAGTAGAGCTTGGCGTCTGGGTCTGCGGCTGCTGCTGTGGCGAACGCGATGGGGAGGTATGCCTCGCCGATGTATTGGTAGAAGACGTTGTCACGGTAGGTTCCGTCCTCGTTGAGGGCTAGTAATCTATACATTAGCGACTTGTGTGATGATGTGATATGTTCCTAGTTCGGCACTGACCTTCGTTGGCAACATCCCAAGCATAGCATTTGCCTTTGTAGTGAGTCACCACGTTGGTGATGTGGTTCTTCATGGCGGCGAGCAGAGTCGCGTTCGTCCAGGAGCCGCTTGAGACTGGTTATAAATTAGATCGCTATTCCCGCATTGAAAGACATGAGATAACAGAACTTACCCCAGCTGGGCAACTGGCTATACCAAACCAGAGTATGGCATCGCAGCTTCTGGCCATTCGTAGCAGCGAGGTTGGCAATGACATCTCCATTGGTATAGGAGAAGGTGTTCTGAGACGGTTCAGTTGCATCCCACTAGCGACGATTAGCGAGGTGTTGAATAGCACGGTAAGGCCAGTCCAACCTTCTGCGCATTGCCGGGTGTAATTTGACCAAAGTCGTCTGTGTTGCTCAGCTGGGCAAGGTATGCAGTATCCGTCAACTCGGGGTTATCAGTAGCTGATCCGAAGTATAGCTTTCCCTTTGCGACAGCAGCGGTGTTCAATCCGGATGCATTGGTCCTATTGAGAGAAATGGGCATCAGTCACTGTCAACTGTCAACTGTCAACAAGCTGGGAATCGGAAGATAAACCATACAGCTGAGGAAGAACACTGGCCAATGCCAGGGCAATAGTGGAGAAATGAACCATGACGAGGTAATCAACGCCAATAATGAATTGACCGCAAGATCTCGACTTAGAGCGAGAAATCGAAACGGCCAACAAGCTCCTTTTATAACCAGAGATAAACAGCGTCAAATTGGTAGGGTCTTGGACGTTTCCAGGACTCCGGCGCTAGGTTTCACATTAGACCACCTTGTCAACTCGAACGGGCCGAAAGGCCGTGGCATAGTTGCCGCGGCCGTTTCAAACAGTCAAATGGGCTTGGTCATGGCTGAGATGCTTGATGGGCATGAGTTGTGCATGAAATTCGTTGCTTTAGCCAGGGAAACTGACACGGGACGCGACGCCACATAGTGGGCAAGGGAGAGAAACGAATAGGGAGACGGCGGAGCAAATTCCGTATTTCCTTCACGGCAAAAAGGGGCTTTTTTCCATATTCTTCATGGAGGGAAGAGGAGACCGGGTAAATGTGATTTTCTACAAATCCGGGGGATCTTCAAGGCTGTCGATCAATTCTTCTCTTCAACTTCTCCTTCGGGTAAATATTGACTACCCTAAAAGTGCAATAGTCAGATCAGAATCAGCTTGATGCTTCAGGCTGAGCAGGTCTCCCCAATGCTCATTCAGGTCAGACATGATTCAAACAATGGCTACGATCAATCCGAGCCAATACTTGCTGGATTGCAACCTTGGAAAGACCTTTTGCTTAAAAAGGGGGCGTTGCCGCCTCAATGATATCTATAAGATCTGAAAATGCATATGTATACACAAGACTGGCGCTTTTAAGGGGTATCAGAGATTTTATAACGTCATGTTGCTCCGTGGTCGGACCAGAGCTGAGTGTTGAGAGTGGTGAGGTACCACTGTTCCAGCCAAATCCAGACCAAGAGGTCGATAGGCAGGAAGCAGCGCTCCCATGGGTGTGATGACTTTGTGGACGCAAATTCCATAGAAATCAACGGATCGGCTGAAAGTTGAGCGGTAGGCTTCATATTAGTGAGATACCACTCAGCCAGTCTTCCGAGCCTTCATCTCTGCAATGTATTTCCCAGTCTTGGAGATAGGCACGACGTGGATGGTGACAAGCTCATCCACAACCTCGACCTTACCGCCAGAGAGAATCTGCAATAAAGGCAGCTTCTTGCCAGCTTTGATCAAACCACCAGAGACAGTCTGCATGAAGCATTCAACACCTTCGACGGTGTACTCCTTCTTCTTGTCCCAAGGAAGGGGGAAGATGTAACTCAGGTGGTCCTCGATTGCGTTCATCTCAGAAAATGCCTTGACAAAGTCTGACTGGGCATCCATGGGGTAAAGGAAAACGACCGGGAACTCGATTGTGCTCTCGGGTGAAAGGGGATCAGGGACAAGGCGGATCCCGGCATCTTCTATATCAGGAGGTTGAGCGGTTTTGCGAGTTCTGATCTGACGGGCGCGCAGAGCTGCGCTGAGAACCATATTCTGCTTGCGCACCCTTTCTTCTTCGGCCTTCTTCCTCGCGGCAGCACGCTCTAATAGGGCCTTGCGCTCGGCAATCTTTTTGGCAGATTCTAGAAGAGCTTTACTTTCTGGGTCAATTGCCAATCCTCGGGCTGCAGCATCTTCAGCCTCGGCCACTTTGTCCAACTTGAGGAGTGCCAAGGAGGAGCGATAGAAGGCCTTCACGTTTTTGGGGTTTAACTTGAGGGTGGCAGCGCAGTCGAGGGTACAAGAACGGTAGTTTCCTGCAAATGAAATATATTAGCCAATGTGCTATGCAGCCAAGAGGATAAGACATGCCTAGTTCCAAGTTGCACAATGCCCGGTTGATATACGACGCCTCCTCCAACTTGCGCAACAGCGCCGCCTCTTCCTCGGGGTCTTCGGGCGCTTCCCACTTATCCTCCTTGGCATTAATAACAGTAAGAGCCTTTGTGTAGAACTCTTTAGCATCAATCCACTTGAGTCCCTGCACAGCTTCATTGCCTTGTCCTTTGTAGCTATTCGCAACCTCGCCCCTGGTACCCTCGTTCTGCAGAGCCTGAAGGGCATCCAATAGTACGTTTTCACCCTCTATTAACCAATATATATTAGTCGAATCGAACAGCCATGTCCAAGGAATGGTCGCACGTACTCTCGTCACCCGCTTTCTCAATATCGGTCATGAACAGAGGCGTCTTATTCATCATTGCCATCAACTCCTCTGACGAATGCGACTGAATGGCTGCAATAGCCGGCGGAAGTTCTGGTGCATTGGGATCGGTATTGCGCGCCTTCAGTGCTTCCTCGTTGATCGGGAAGGGAGTTTCGTTTGTAGCGAAGGCGTCAAACCCGGGCACGGGTACGCCCTGGGTAACCTCAGGAGGCGCCTTGTTGAGGTTGAGCGACTCATCAAAGTCATCTGGAAGTTCTTCGACGCGCGACATCTTGAGCGTTGGTCACAAGAAAATGTTGCGCTTAATTTGGTGATCGTCCAATGCTTAGAAACTATGCCCGCGATGCAAACAGTGCAAACAGGAGGGGTTTGATCAGCCCTAAGCCCTATTACCGGATTAGTCGGACTGGAATGAGATGCAAGAATATAAAACTTGCGAAGAAGAAGAAAACCAAAAAATTATAGGAAGATTTTGGGTTTACAATCAGGATATTCCATGATGCACTGGGTGTTTCTAGGTCGATGACCGCACGTGGAGAGGGCCTGAGGCCGCCATTCTTCATACTCTATCAATCTATCAATTTGCTGCTGTTGGGTTATATTTCACGATCTATATACTTGATTCACTATTGGCTGGTTCTATCGGAGTTTTCTCATAGCAGGGAACAAGGCATATACCACACCGTTTGATGCATGAGGAACTAGTATACTAGGCAAGGACTACAACCCAGGCAGTGTCGGACACCTACTATACAGGCCTGATCTTGTGTACTAATCCCCGCAACCGACAGCCTGCAGAAAGTTAAAGCAACCCTCCTTATTCCGGCGACAAACCTCCGCACCTCGGAGGCCATGTCATCGGTGAAACCCCGACCAAAACAAACCCCGCATCAATCGGGTTGAAGACCGAACCGATTCAGGCCGTATAAGTCCTAGGTGCTAGGTTACGAGAATAATCTGATCTACCCCAGATATTTTCATGTAATAACATACACCACATCACCATGGCCAAAAACTTCAACATCCTCATCCTACCCGGCGATGGCATCGGCCCTGAGATCATGGCCGAAGCCGTGAAGGTCCTCAAGTTCTTTGAGACTCCCCAGCGCAAGTTCGAACTGCGCCAGGAGTTGATTGGAGGTTGCAGCATTGACGCTCATGGCAAGTCTGTGACTGAAGAAGTCAAGCAGGCAGCTCTGGACTCAGATGCAGTGCTCTTCGCCGCAGTTGGGGGCCCGAAATGGGACAATCAACGTCGTGGTCTTGATGGGCCCGAAGGAGGACTACTCCAAGTCCGAAAGGCTATGGATATCTATGCAAACTTACGCCCGTGCTCTTCCACCTCGCCAAGTGCCTCTATCGCCAAGGAGTTCAGCCCGTTCAAGCAGGAAGTTATTGAAGGTGTTGATTTTGTTGTCGTGCGGGAGAACTGCGGAGGTGCCTATTTTGGCCGCAAGGTCGAAGAAGAAACATACGGTGGGTTGCACTGAGATTCTATTGTCATTGAATAGCTAACTTTTCTTCTACCACAGCAATGGATGAATGGGGTTACTCCGAAGCCGAGATCCAGCGAATCACTCGTCTATCCGCCGAAGTAGCACTGCGACACAATCCCCCTTGGCCTGTGATCTCACTAGACAAGGCGAATGTACTAGCTTCTTCGCGACTCTGGCGCCGGGTAGTGGAAAAGACTATGGCGGCCGAATACCCGCAAGTGAAATTGGTGCACCAGCTTGCCGACTCCGCGTCATTGATTCTGGCAACGAACCCGCGATCCCTGAATGGCGTTATCCTGGCCGACAACACCTTCGGCGACATGATCTCTGATCAAGCTGGGTCGATTGTGGGTACGCTGGGTGTGTTGCCAAGTGCCAGTCTCAACGGTCTGCCTGGTGATAAGACACTGAAGACACGACCTTACGGGCTGTACGAGCCTACACATGGATCTGCTCCGACGTAAGTGCTAGAAATATGATAAGAAAGCTATTCTGACTTTGTTATAGTATTGCGGGACAAAACATTGCCAACCCGGTTGCAATGATCCTCTGCGTCGCGCTTATGTTCCGATACTCTTTGAGCATGGAAGATGAGGCTCAACGTGTGGAGGATGCGGTGCGTAAAGTGCTAGATTCAGGGATTCGGACGCCTGACCTTGGGGGCAAGGCTGGGACTAAAGAAATGGGCGATGCGATTATGTCTGCACTATAGTATAACATGTGGGAATGACTATCCATGATTGCTCGGTCAAACAAAGTCCAAGCATGTCTCAAACTGGTTGATCAATGAATGCATCTAACATCTAACTCTGATAAAGAGAGAAGCTGACCAAAGGCAATGTTTGTTAGAGAACTGGGGTTGAAAGGAAATTAGATAGCACTTCCCATGATTCCATAATGCTTAGGTATAATTAGATTGGCATGTTCCTGAATATCTCTTCTCTTCTTATTCCTCTCCATGTCTAATACCATCACTTCCACACCCCCACAGAGTCCGCTCCAAGACGAGTCTCCCGCAAGAAACGGAGCACTCAACATGTCACCCCCAACGCCTACCACCCCATTGACACCACCGATGGCACCCCACCATCCAAGCCAGCATCAAAACACACCAGGATCCTGCGCTTTACGCCTCGAAAACCTGGAACAACAAACCTCCACCGCAAAAAGCGAGCTGATGGCATCCATCGCGGCAGACATCTGCGCAACATTCATAAGCATCGCAAAGTACTCCGAGGAAGGCGCACTCCAAGCGCGGCACACCGACGTGATCGACAAGGTGATTCAGACGATTCGCGACACCGATGTGAAGCAGCGACGCTTGCTGGATCGACAGGTGCAGCGACTGCGCAAGGAGAGGAAGTGGATCCGGAAGAAGTATTCGCGGCTGGCTGTGCAGGCGGATGGGCTGGGTCGCGCCTACCAGACGAAGATGCGGAAATTGAGAATCTCGCTACAAGAGGCGCAGGGGGAGGTGGTGCGTCTACGAATTGAGCGGGATATGTTGCGAGATTGCTTGAAGAAGTACGATATTGAGGACAGTTATTCGAATGACAACAATGCCGATGGGGAGTGTGAGGTTGACACGGGGGAGGATGTTGATGGAGAATATGAGAGTGCAGAAGAAACTGTCAAGGGGGCAGATCTTTGATACCTTTCAGATGTCTCTCAAGGCGTCTCTGGGATGTCTCTCGGAGATTATTTGTCCGTTTGAGCTTGCATGCGAAACCGTTTTTTCATTTCCTTTTTGGCCCTGGGGTTTAGGGGGAGAAGAGATCTGCCTCCCATTTCGAAAAATGACGCCACGGCGAAGAGAAGCATATTCATTCTGAGACTTAGCTTCGTCAATTCCCCCACATGACAAGCAGACAGAATCGAGAAGCAAGTTCTATCAAAAAAGACTCCCATTTCAACTGCGTTTGAAAATACCACAGTAATGGATGTAAGATCGGATTTGCCTATCAATATTAGTGTCATATCTCAAGATCGGCTTCTGAGTTCCGAGGGTTGAATCGGCATTTGATGGCATCTGGAATGTGATTCCATATCCTCCAGGGCTTGTTCCGGTTGAATATAAGACAAAAATCACTGGAAATGGGAATCTCGACCATCAGAACCGAGAGAACCAAACGTCGGAACTTGCAAATCGAAATCACAGCCGATCATGAGCAAGTCAACGGTCGTCCAAATCCTACCTCGGCATCTTCAATAGGCGCACCCTGATTCGGCCCGCGGATCCACCGACTTCCATGTGGAAAGTCCGGGGGGCTCTTTTTTCTGTTCGTTTCTCCTTCTTTTCGGTTCTTTTTCTCTTTTCTCTCCCTGATCCAAATCCCTTTACTTAAACTTCTTCGAATCACCTCGAAGACGACGTTGAGTTTGTCCAATTTTTTCCCGATAAACATACCCCGGACCGCGTTATCGGCCGATACCGAGAATGAGCACCCACGACTATGACGCCGTCCGCAAGGACATCGCCGATATCCTGCAGAAGCCCGGCTATGATGATGGCAGCGCAGGACCCGTCTTCGTGCGGCTAGCATGGTAAGTAAATGTGATCAAGCCTCATCGTTTCCCGGTCGGGGACCTCGGCTCAACGGGGACGATAAGCCTCGCAATCTTACTGACAATGATTTCAAACAGGCACTCATCTGGCACGTACGATGTTGAATCCGATACCGGCGGTTCAAACGGAGCCGGCATGCGGTACGAAGCAGAGGGTGGTGATCCCGCCAACGCTGGTCTGCAGCACGGACGGGCATTCCTAGAGCCGATTAAAGAGAAGCACCCCTGGATCACATACTCGGATCTCTGGACGTTGGCCGGAGTAGTGGCGATAAAGGAGCTGGGCGGACCGGATATCCCCTGGCAAGGCGGACGAACAGATTTGATAAACGATACCAAGCTGCCTCCACGAGGACGTCTGCCAGACGGAGCCCAAGGTGCCGACCACCTCCGGTTCATCTTCTACCGCATGGGTTTCAACGACCAGGAGATTGTAGCGCTGACGGGCGGACACAACCTGGGCCGATGCCACGGCGACCGCAGTGGATTCGAGGGCCCGTGGGTTACGAACCCGACCCGATTCTCAAACTCTTTCTTCAAATTGCTGCTCCAGCTTGACTGGCAACCTCGCAAGGTGGCGTCGGGTAATACCCAGTTTGTGTATGTGGACCCCGATGCGGATGAGGACGAGGAGCCGTTGATGATGCTGCCCACTGATATGGCGCTCACGACGGATCCTGCATTTGCCCCGTGGGTTAAGCGGTACGCCGAGGATAAGGAGTTGTTCTTTGATCACTTCTCCAAGGTGTTTGCCAAGTTGATTGAACTTGGCATCCGGCGTGATGCTAAGGGTGCCGTGACCAACACTGACGGCACTCTCGGTGGGTATGTGTCAGCACCGAAGAAGAGCAACACTGCCACAGGCCCGCCCAGGGCGCGTCTGTAGGGTTTTCTTTTTCGGCTTTGTTTTTGGCTTGTTTTGATCAATTCCCCACTGCGTTGGTTGATCCGGGACTGCAGACTGCAGGATTCGGATGTGTAAATAGATCCTAGATCATAGAATGTGATGAAGATAACTGATGGATGCCTGTTGATATGTATCGTCGTAGTATCTTCGTAGTAGAATTATAAAGATGAAATAGAAAGAAGAGAGAAAGGGGGATGTCGAAGTCTGGGGTAAGATTGCGGGGAAGCCCGCACGGCTACATCTGAATAATACTACATATACATACTGGTATGGACGTATACGATGTACACTTGTTATTATGTAGCAAAGAAGTACTTATGTCTGTAAAAGGGCACTAGAAAGGTACCAAGTGTGTAATATCTCGTGTTATACAGACTCGGGCCTCGGGTATATCAAATGAGAGCCCGCTGATTGGCAGATGCCGTGTTGACTAGTATCAACGGTGTATATTAGGAAATATAAAAGAACAAAAGAGTACAATAAGTCACATAAATCACATAAATCAAGGCAAATCTGCATCATCTGCATCACTGTCACCAGGCTTCCATGTTGGATCGGTGTTCTTCTTCCTCGAATTCCTCAATCCTGGTCTTCTTGATACCTTCGGCCTCTCCTCTCCCTGTTTCTTCTGTTCTTCCTTTTCTCTTTGCTGTTTATATTGTTCCTCTTTAGTCCATCTTGAGTCTTTCTCCCGTACTTCACCTTCATTTTGTTGTTTTTTCTTTGGATCGAGCTCTTTTTGTTTGTTCCGCTCCTCTCTTCTTTTTCGATCGTGGTCCTGTTTCTTTTGCATCTTCTCTAGGTCGAGTTCGTCCTCTTCTTCCTCGTCTTCTACATCACTAAATCTCTGGCTTGAGTTGAATTCACCTGCACGTAGGGCCTGCTTCTCCCTTGGACTCAGGGCCTGCTTCGAAATAGCGTAGTTTGTCATCGCCGACCTCTTGAGCTCATTACCGTGAGTAATGCGGAAATGTCGATTTCGAAGCTCAGGAATAGTCTCCGCATCTGGCATGCTAATATCTGACGACCCAGTGCCCCTGCGATTGCCCAGCTGGGGTGACATAGGCAGATCAGGGAAGTCCAAAGCTCCTTCCTCACTAGGTAGACCCGAAGGCCACATGTCAGGATGTTGAAGCCAGCGTGGACTCTGCATCATTGACTGGAATATATGGTTCTTGGGGTCCACATTTATTATGCCTTGACCATTGCTCGATAGGTCATGAAGGCCGGTCATGTCCATGAACGAGGACAACTCGAACTCCGGAGCTGTGGTGATGGACCAAAGGCCCGGATCAAGGAGTGATTGGTCAATGACCAGTGGATCAAGAAGCGCCGAATCAATGTGACCGAGTGGCAGAGCGGATATGGCAGTCTCTTCAGAGGCTGGGTTGGGGGATACTTTCGCTGTTGCCCAGCCGGGATTAAAATTGCTGAAGCGCTCACCATTGTATGAAAGTATACGAGGCCATGACTCCCGCTGCGGTGGAGGATCCGATCGCTCCCAAGGGATGTGTTCTTCGAAAACGCTCTTGTTCTCGCTCACGCAATTGGCCATCTCTATCAACGTGTTGTTGGCCTTGTGCAAAAGCTCGATGGTGGGATTCATGATTCGCTCGTAGAAAAGGAGCGGAATGGCATAATGGTTGACCCATTCAGTGGGCACTTTTTCGTCAGGCTGAAATGCTGGGATTCCACCGATGAGAACCCCAGAGTTGACTTGGCTGTCGTACATCATAATATTCCCATTATCTTTCTCGCCTCGTTTCGTATCTGTCCAGAATAAACGAGCATGCGATTCGTTGTTATAGATTCCACCAATCCAACGATAGTGTGCAACCTGTGGTTTGTCTTCATAGTCTATGTAATTGAATCTGAGATTCTCTGTGTGATTTCGGATTCGAGTCTTGATATCAGAGGTTACCACAAGACGCAGAGGGAGTTGACCGATCTTTCGTTCTCCAGTAACTCCCGTCGGATCACCACACTTATCACACTTGAAGGACTTGCGTGGGTAGAAACATCGCTCGATCAACTCTTGCAACTCTACTCCTTTTTCATCGCCAGTTTGGTAGCCAGGTAGAATGCAGGACCCTTGGTGGGAGTTGTAGAATGGCATTGCACACTGGCATTTGCAAGGGGTCACTCGCTCCACGTGGAAATAGCGGAATTGAGCGAAGCTTCTCGTGGCCACTGACCATACCGCCCAAGGAGGAATCGGTTGTCCCATTTTCAAGCCGGTTGAGCCATCGGAAAACATACGGAGCCACTCGTCACGCACAAATATAGAAGTTTTATCGTCGAAGGTCTCCCAACTCGCCATTGTCACTTCGATGAATGCTTTTTCGATATCTTTGAACTCAGCTGCTCGATTGTTTGCACGATCTATCTTGGTACAGCCAGCATCGAGTAGCATTCCCGCTACAATAACAGCATCTGTTGCACAGGACATTGAATCCCAGATAGGGCCGCGGCCCCGGACCGGAAATATAGTGCCATTCGGATCCCAATCGAAGGTCAATGGGGACAACTTGACACTCGCCGTGGTGGGGAATGACCCAAGTTTCATCGTGAGCATATCCTTATAAGAATAGGCGGTCCCGTGGCGAATAGGTTTTCCAGTAGACGGAATGCTGGGATCACGGTCCAAATCTGCATACACGATCTGCATCACAGTTCGTTCCACGGCGTCCGTAATCGCTTGCGTGTCAAGCGGGCTGGAAGCTTTCGGGACAATGGGGCTCAATTGGTGCCTTCCAATGGGGGTCACTTTATCGGAAGGTACTAGAGCAGGCGTCCAGGTGAAAGTTGTGATTTCATCAGCAGCAAAGACAGGCTCTTGGTATGCCGAAGTGGGGTAATGAAAGTGATCTCTGTAAGCAGGAGCACCGGGTGAAATCTGTCTTGCGCGCTTGCTACGGGGTTCCTCGTTGTCCTCTGCACTCCGTTTTTGACCTGGTGCAGGGCCCGTTATCTTCTGACTCGGCGTTTCGGTCAATAAATAGGCCGGTGTAATCTCGACTCCTGGGTTCATGTGTTGCAACAAGTTCATACGAAGGATTTCCTCCTGTTGCACAGCGAGTGTTGACGCTGGAGATGGTGGAGGTGGTGTGTGTAAGCTGTCGGCGGAGTACATAAACTGTTGAATAAGATAGTCGGGCATATCCGGTGGCGCATCCTGAGGGCGTATGTATGCATTCAAGATAACTGTGTTCACATCCGGAAGAGAATTGTACCACCTACTGAATGGCTTTGGGCGCGGATCGAGGTCGTATCTCAAGAGTCGTGGCCCAGTATCTCGGTTAACATCGAGCATATCTGCCCAAGTCTTCGGACGATGGCGTTCTTGCATGTAGTAGATGAGCTTGAACAAAAACATATGTTGAAGCTTGACATTTGACTTCTTTCTCATTGTCATGGGAGTCTTAGTCGGTTCCTCATAGTGGATTCCCCAGAAGTAATGCTTCATCAACACTTGCACCTGCGGGGCCTTCAAGGAACGACTGGAGCCATGTGCAACAGATGAAAACTTGGTATTGAAATGTGACCAGTCGTCGGGTGGGTTAGGAAGGCGTGTAAAGTCGTAAAGTGGTAAGGGTGGAGGCGGCTGTTCGAGTTCCTGCGGCCTCAATGGGAAATCGGAAAAGAGAGGAATCTCGAGCGGGGAGAAATTACTCATCTCGACAATCTGAAAGTGAAGAATCAAGGTCTGAAAAGTATACCACGACGGGCTCAATCGAGAGCAATATCCTGATATTGGGGTGTCCTATATTGGTCTGAGGAACCTGGAAACTATCAACTAGAAGCCAAAACGAGGAAAACCAAGTGCTTTAATGGACAACGAGGAACATCCATTGTCCAATGTGCCGGCTTGAATGCCATCTTTACTAACGAAAGAAATAGAGTGCCATATTGTAGACGGTAAGCATGAGATGAAAGAACACACCGAGCCCCTCCCCGAATCGAAGACCCATGGTAACATCCTCTTTCTTGATGAACAAAGCACTTAGATTCTAGGCAAGAGTTAGCGCCAGGGCAGGATGAGAGTGGGGAATTCTATATTTGTCACATTAGCACATAGCGTCTTGGTCGAGGTCAATCAAAGAAACTAGTAAAAATAGAAAGTAATACTATCAATAGCAGTGGGGTTATGGGGTTCTCTTAACAAACCAAAGAACTTAACTTATCAAATCGAAGATCCTATAGATTGGGGTTCCAGATCCAGTGCAGGTAACGGATGTGATGTTGTGGCCATGTTGCTCTCTTGTTTGGCCTTGAGTAAGCCTCACTGGGTCTAGAAATAACCATCAAAGTGCAGAAGTGATTAGTATCAAGCTAGAGATCTCGAAATTCTTAAAGCAAGTGAATCGGAGCTTCTGGCATCGTCCGCCACGAATAAAGATATGAGCTAAAGAATGTATGGGCCTGCGAGTAGCCAATCCATAGACTTAAGAAACGCGAAATAAAAACTTAAATCAAAGAGAAGACAGTGCCACAAAGTAAATCAATGTATGAACTTCATGAAGGATTACTCGAAGCACAAAGAGACACTTTGACAGTGGCTGATCACTCCAGGAATCGGGTTCGTCACAGTTTCATGTCGAGGAAAACAAAGCCGTCTGGTCAGGGCTGCAGGTAAAATACGTGTAAATAACATGGCAGATTACCCGAATGTAACACTGAAATTAACAGTCATGTGACTACACATGATCTACATTACGCACTAGCCATTTTGGGCCTAGTCCCGAACAAGCGAGCCCTCGTCCAAATCGGGTTAGTGCTCCAATTACCCGATCCCACAAGCAAAGTCACTCAGTTGGACTTCCTCTCTCCATCCCTCTGTCGACAACCCATCGCGATCCTCGCCCATCGCCCATCATGTGTACGTGACGACCCCTCCTTTCAGTCCGAGAGCATTATATGATATACAACCACGAAATTGCCAAAAAAAGAAATGCTGGAAACGACTGCAGAGAAAGCAGTTCTCTAAATTGAATGTTGGCTAACATAACGGTTTCTCGATAACAGCGCTCGTGACCGGCGATAAGACGAACTTCCAGTTCATCTTGCGTCTGCTCAACACCAATGTTGACGGCAAGCAGAAGATCATGTACGCGCTGACCCAGATCAAGGGTGTCGGTCGCCGTTACTCCAACCTGGTCTGCAAGAAGGCCGATGTCGACCTCACCAAGCGGTACGTTCGCCACAACCCCTATCGAATATTCAATCATTCCCATGCATCTGTTATTGGAGGAAAAACTCGAAAGAGACAATGGAACAGTCTGGACCGGAATCGACCTGCGGACTAGAAAGAGGGGGAATATCGCACAACAAACAAATTTTCTACTAGACCAGCGAAGCTGACAAAACGCCTTCTATATAGTGCTGGTGAGCTCACCACCGAAGAGCTCGAGCGCATCGTGACCATCCTCCAGACCCCTACCCAGTACAAGATCCCTTCGTGGTTCCTCAACAGACAGCGCGACATCACCGATGGCAAGGACACCCAGGTTGTTTCCAACGGTCTCGACTCCAAGCTCCGTGAGGATCTCGAGCGCCTCAAGAAGATCCGCTCCCACCGTGGTCTGCGTCACTACTGGGGCCTCCGTGTCCGTGGTCAACACACCAAGACCACTGGCCGCCGCGGTCGCACCGTCGGTGTCAGCAAGAAGAAGGGCTAAATCATTCTGTTCGCTTTTTTGCCGGGGGTTCTTGGAGGGATTCCGTTATTTCCGGTGTGTTTCTATGGACACTCGTGGGACCTTTTCCCCGCTGTCAAAAAATTGAAAATGAACTATACCAATGAAATGAACCGATCTTTCCAATACGTATGCTTTGCTTTTGGCCCTGGGTTTGATGGGTCATACGTTGTGGAACAATTTGCCAACTCCATGATCCTGGCTCAATCCTCGGCCCTCGTAGGGTAGAATATCTTGCAAGCCTCCGTGGTATAATTCGAAGAATACCTTGCTGTGGGGGTAGAATGTCCTAGACCGTCGGTGTGCCTGAGCCATAGATCAACAACTATGGGGTTCTGGGGTTATACATGCACTCATGCATCATCCATGTCTACACTACATGTTTATTACTCAATGTTTGAGTCTATCCAAAATTTATTGAATTCAAAGTTGCCTAGTTATATACCAAACAAAAGCCAGATCGGTAGGAAAACATAGTATGCGGCCTTCTGAATTTCCCAGAGGGTTAGGTGTCAAATTGTACGCAAATAGCCAGTGGCAAGATCAATAACACGTAGTGTAATGATAAGTTCATCAACGCATTGTATCATATAGCAACTCGGTTGAGTGTTTAGAACCACTCACCACCGAGCCAGCGGTTGAAGAAATCGATACTAGCCTCAGGCTGGTCCATGGGAACCATGTGGCCAGCACCGAAGATACGCATGAAGGTGAAGTTGCCGTGGGACTTGATCTGACCGATCTTCTTGCCAACGTGCTCGTTCTGTACAATCTCGAGGTCCTCAAGCTTGGCGGCAGCGAACTCCTTCTGGCCAGGCCACTCAAGAGCCTCGGACCAGGCCTTGTTGCCAAGCCAGTTGCAGATGAAGTCAGCATCACCAGCGTAGATCAGGACAGGGATCTGCTCAAGGAGACCGGGCACGAGGCGGTGGTAAGGCTTGAACCAATCGCCGTTGAAGAGGAAGTTACGGTTGATGTCGAAGTTGCATGAGTCGTAGCCATCGACCTCAGCACCGACGGCCTCACGCACGCTCTCCTGACCGAGGTACTCGCTGACGTAGCCCATACCCTTGTAGCACAGGTTGCTCTCGTCCTCACACTTGCCGCGAATATCGTAAACATTCTGGCCGGTGCGCTGGTAGGGACCAAGCATGGCGTTGTTGCAGTAGATGGAGGCCGGGACACAAACCCAGGGGCTCTCGCTGTTGTAGCAGGACTGAATCATGCTTTGGCAGCGGGCCAGGGAGTTATCCATAGACTGGCAGGTGCTCTCATCCAGAACAGCGGGGTAGCCACCCTCGCCGCATGCCATAGGGCGGTAGTACTCGTACTGAGTAAGACCGTCGGTGAGACCGTTACCAATGAGAACAGACTTGAGGTTGATGTTACGCTTCTTGTGGGAGAGAATCTCCGAAGCCATGACAGGAATATAGTGGCCAGCGTAAGATTCGCCAGCAATGTGGAAGTCCTGTACAGCGTACTCGGGGAATTGCTTGAAGAACAATGTGAGGAGGGCATAGACGTCCTTGCCAGCAGCAACAGTGTCACTGACAGAGGAGCCACTGTAGGAGTAGCCGACATTGATGGGCTGGTCCAGGAAGATCACAGAGGCATTGTTGTTCCACGAGAAATCATTGTAAATAGGCTTGATATCAGCACCGATAGAGCTGGGTCCAAGTTCCAAGAAAAGTCCGGTGAGGGACGAGCAGCCGGGACCGCCGTTCAGCCACAGGATAACGGGGTCGTTCTTGGGGTCATTGCGAGACTCGAAGAACCCTTTCGGAGGTTAGATAAACTTTAGATGATGAATGGAGGCTTTCCGAACTTACAGTAGAACAAGTGCTTGTCGTTCTCGTTGTCATCCAGGTAACCACTGTACTGCTTCACACCGGGGTCGATACCGAGAGCGCTGGGGTCAACCTTCTTGGCACGGAGGCTGTAGTCCTCCAGCTTGCCCTCAACCTCACGCTCCTTGACGCCCTCGGCATTAGAGACCCAGATGTCTTGGACTTCAGCGCCACTGACATGGTAATCCCAGTGCGAGTCAGGGCGGCGGGTGTGCTTCTTGGGCAGGGAAAGCAAGGGAGCGCTCTCCATGGACTCGGGGAAGTAGTTAGACACTTCCTCCCAGAGCTGACGAGCCTCACCAGAAAGAGACTTGAACTGGTCCTGGAGTTGCTGCAGGGGCTTGAGTGCATCCGCACCCTGTTGGGCTACGTTCTCCGCATACTCCCTGTGAGCTCCGAGGACCTGCTGGAAGGGCGGAGCAGCGGCCGAAGCAGCTCCCACCAAGAGAGTGGCGGACAGAACTCTCATTGTGTACTGTGTTTGGATTTCACGGCAAGAATGATGGTAATGAGCTGGTGATGATGAACGGGTACCTTGGGGTCTGGAGTTAGGCACCTCTTATCAGTAACCGTTGGGAGAATGGCTCTCAAAATGAGCCAAAGGAAGTTGATCACTTACACTTTGAAGATACCACAAGATGATTGATAATTGAGACAAAGTTGAAGGGTTGGAAGAAGCAAGACGGTGATGCCTTGGGGCTTGTGAGATGAGGAGAAGCAGGTCCCTTGGCCGATGACGCCGGGGACAGTCGATAAGACGAGAGGGCTGGGCCAATCAGATGACCCCAGGAAGCTGCCCGACCCCATGACCCGGATGAGTCAGCATGAGTCACGGGATTCCAAGGTTACGAGGGGCACGAGCTTATCGACTAAGCCTTTTTGGGTAAATTGCCTGACGCAAATCAACTTTTGATACTTCGGACTCAGTCTACATATATCCTTCGATCTTGACGGTGTCATCCACTTGGAAATAGTCTTCAAAAACATATCTTGAATCTTACTCTGAAGCAACCAGCCCTCAGCGGCTTTCACACCCAAAATGCCTATCAACCAACCCTCCAACCAGATCAAATTCACCAATGTATCGGTGGTCCGACTAAAGAAGGGTACACTTCTGTCTTATCTATGTTCCTTGGACGTTTCTAACCTTTTATCCCAATCCAGGCAAGAAGCGCTTTGAACTCGCCTGTTACAAGAACAAACTGCTGGAATACCGATCCGGCGCCGAAAAAGATCTCGACAATGTCCTCCAAGTCCCAACCGTGTTCCTCTCCGTCTCCAAAGCACAAACCGCCCCAACAGCAGAGCTAGCAAAGGCCTTCGGGACCGGTACCCCACGAGAGGAAATCCTCCAAGAGATCCTCCGTAAAGGCGAAGTGCAAGTCGGCGAGCGTGAGCGCAAAGACATCCTCGAGCGAGTGGAGAAGGAAGTGCTGGATATCGTGTCAGGTCGACTAGTCGACCCCTCAACCAAGCGCGTGTACACCTCTGGAATGATCCACAAAGCGTTGGATCAATTAACCTCGGCCAGCGGACAACAACAGGCACATGCGAGCGGGGAGGTGAATGGAGATGGCGAAGAGAAACCCTCTCAGCCGAAGAAGCCGCTCTGGACGGGAGTTTCGGCGAACCGCTCGGCGAAGAGTCAAGCGTTGGATGCCATGAAGGCTCTCATTGCCTGGCAGCCGATCCCCGTTATGCGAGCCCGCATGCGTCTTCGTGTGACGTGTCCAGTGTCCCTGCTGAAGCAGTCTGTCAAGGCTGCCCCAGGTGCAGCATCGAATAAGGAGAAGGAAGCCCCATCTGGTGGATCAAAGAACAACAAGAAAGGGAATAAGGGATCGAAGAAATCCAAGAAGGACGATTCAGATATTGAGGCTGGTCAGTCTGATGTGGAAGCACCCAAAGCCCCGGGCACCGTCAAGGACAAAATCATGGCGTTCATCGAATCGGTTGAATCGCAAGAAGTCATTGGCGGGGATGAATGGGAAATTGTTGGGTTTGCTGAACCCGGTGCGTTTAAGGGATTGAATGAGTTGGTGAGCAATGAGACCCGCGGACGAGGCCGGGTTGAGGTTCTGGACATGTCGGTCACACATGAGGATTGAATTATGACGTTTGATTTCTCTAAGGCTTTACTGTACATGATACGATATGACTGATGACAAAAAGTAAAAAGAACCTTGAAATATACTGGATTTGATATGCCATCTCATTATGCCGCAGTAAGGGGAATACAATGCCGATGACCAAAGTCTATTCTCACGGAAAAAGCAAAGATGAAGAAATGACAGTCGAACAATGGAGACATACTGCGGGGAAGGAACACATACTGCAGCTGCCAGCAGCTCGTAAAAAAAGCCACTCAACGTAGGAGAGTATCTTTGCAAAAAGAAAGAAAAGGGCCAGGATCCCAAGTATGATAGCTCAAAGTATAATCAACAGCCCTGAAGCGTATCATTGACTCGCAACAAGAAGTTAAGTAACAATATCATACAAGAAGACGTCTAGGATATAGACAAAGGAGAGTAGGAACCCCAACACCGTGAGAATTGCTTATTCCCAACAAAAAGAAAAAAGCAATAACTGATCATCGCAACGCTTGAGCCAATCAGACATCCCCAGGTACGCCGATCTTGTCACATCCAGTCACCAGTAAAACCACATTCTTGCCCGGGCCAAATTCTCTAGCGAGATCCAGTGTCTTGGCTACTGCATGACTCGAGTCAAGACCGGGCAAAATGCCCTCGTGGTGCTGAAGGATTCTAAACCCATCCAGGGCAACCGCGTCCGTAGCAGTTGAGATTTCAATCCGGCCAGAGTCCTTCCAATGGGCGACCTCGGGGCCCACAGTAGACAAGTTCATGTCAGGTGAAATGGAATGCGAGTCAAGTATTTGGCCATCGTCGTTTTGGAGTAGGAGAGTGCGGGCACCTTGTAGTACTCCAAGCCCTCCATCTGTCAGGGCAGCTGCCTTCGCGGCTTCCACACCAATCAAACGAATAGATGAGTCATGGAGGAACGGTCTGAAGAGACCGATTGCACCGCTACCACTGCCGACGGCGGTGACGAGGGCATCTGGGTGACAGCCTGCTGCCTCGTGCATTTGGGCTGCAACCTCCTCGCCTAGAAGGGCTTGGAACGTGCGAGCCAGAGTCGGCAGGGGACTAGGCCCCACCGGGCTACCCATGAGGTAGTATGCAGATTCGTGATTGCAGACCGCATACCGCAGGGCTTCTGTGATGGCCGCGCGTAGACTACCCATGCCGGAGGGGGTGCGG